AACACACACACACACACACACACACACACACACACACAGAGAGAGAGAAAGAGAGAGAGAGAGAGAGAGAGAGAGAGAGAGAGAGAGAGAGAGGTCTTGCAGAAGGGCTCCCCTGGGTTGGTACATTAAGTTCTCCCTTGGGAATTTTAGTTCTCATCTACATCTGGCTTAAATTCAAACTGCAAAAATGTACCATAAGATGCCCTTATTTTTGCATTACGAAAGAATAATTATTTCTTCAAGGCTTTTGAGGAGCCAAAAATCAACACCTGTGCCTTCAGGTAAAACATTTTGCAATGTGTCAGGAAGAGAAATCCAGGCATGCCCCACTGCTCTGTTTAAATAGGAGTATACAAAGGAACATTAAAGACATGAATCAATGGGGAGGAAAGTCTAGTTGCAACTCTCACTGGAATGGCGTGTTCTGAAAGTAAATGTCTTGGCATAGACGTTTTTAATATGATGCATCAGGCTCATAAATTTGTACGTCATACTTTTCAGTAGAGAAATATTTTCTGGCACAGGATCAATAATGTGTATCAATCAATATGCAGGGGTGCAAACCGTGAGACTAGAAAGGCACACTGCTGTTCATCTTTGTTTTAAGGCCTATCTTTTCAGCTGCACAAGCAGCTATGAAGCAAATGTTAAAGAAAAGTGCCACTGCTTGTGCAGGTCTCCCTATTGTTGCAAAGCAGCCTCCCGGCTTGTTTCCACACTTGGCATAACTGGGCAGCCTGCAGCTGGATGCGTGCAGTTCTGATTCAGCATCCGATGCCTCTGCTGTTGCATCATGATACCTACTGATTAAGATGTTGACTCTCCTCACTCTCAATTGTTTTTGAGCTTAGGACTGAAACAGCAAGATCACAGAGCTCAAAGGGATGTGGAGATAATTTAATTCAATTCCCAGAAGCGCTCCAAGGCGAGAGAACAATGAAAAGTTGCCAGATTTCACAATAGTTGAATCATTCTCTTGGGTAGGGTTCAACCATCCTACAGCTGTCTGGGAACATATGGAATCTGGCACAATTCTGTCAATTTTCTTCTGAGAAGGTATCAGTAAGCATTCACAGGTGATATCTGTGCCAACGTGGTGTGAAGATACATGATCACATCTATAGAGGAGGCCACTGCACAGATGCATGGGAGAAAGCTCAGGTGGCACCAGAACCTGCTGTGTTATGGTAAGCTGATGGAGGAAATGAGCCTTCTAGATTCCAAAATATTTCAGAAGCAAGGCAGAAAGTGTGGTGGTGGACCTCTGAATGAAAAAGTGGATCTACAAAACTTCTGGAGTGGAAAGAACATTTTGCCGTTGTCCAGCACACGTTCTTTTGACGTCTCCTGTGCTTATATTTATAGATCATCAGGTTGGAAATATTGTTTTGTTTATAGAATGTCTAGTAAAAATGACCTCTTGTGAGTATGAGGAGCCATCTATCCTAAGAGTTGTTCTAGTTCTTACTCAACAGCACAGAAGATTTCTTCCCCAACTGCATGAGGCACCACTGTAGTGAGCAAGGCCCACTGTGTTTACTTGAGGAAGAAAAGGATGGTCAAGATACTTGCATATGGTCCACTTTAGGATATACAAATTGGAGAGGCTTCCCTGGTTAATACCTGTGGTTGTGAGGACAAAAGCTGACTCTAGACACTTTGCTGCCTGATGCAAAGAATAAGGTAAGTTCCTATTCCGCATACAAAAGCCGACTGGATTGCACACACAGCAATGTCCACCAAACACCTCAGCATTGCTTCATGGCACCCCCAGGATCTGCCACCGAGGCAGCCTCCTCACTCTGCCTAATTGTAGGGCCAGTCAGTCCTATGGGACACTTCCTAGGTGAAGGAAGATTAAGGTGTTCTTTCTTTTTCCCTTTTCGGTGAGCACCATAAAAAAATATCCCAACATGGGAACCTGCTGCTGAAGCTGTACTTTTATAAATAATACCAGATTACACACACACACAAAAGGACTATTGGCAAGTCAGTTTGTACTAAATTAAAACTTTATTGACTAAGGTTTGTTCTCCAGACAATGTGATTTGATGGGCTATGGTGGCATATGTGCATTCATGAGCTTGAGAATGGATTTAATGCAGAATGTCAAACGACTTAGTAACATGTATTATATAAATCCATAAATCTGTGTTGTTGCAAAATGAAACCAAGGCTATGTTCCTGGTGGAACTATGTTGAACTACAAGGCACTGTGGTTGAGAAAGACAATAAAAACTGGTACATTTCTTTAGCATATATTTCAAATAAATTAGACTTGTACTCTTTCAGCTTCACCTGCACCCAACAACAATTTATGTGCAAATATCAAAATTGTCACTGAGAAGGAATGAATGACTAAAACTGAACCAACATGTTACAGCTGAGCTGATTTGCAAGTGAACAATAACCAAAACACTATTGTTGCTGTAAAACCAGTGTAGGCTTATATTATTGGTACAGCTCAAAGCAGTTTGTGTAAGGGTCCATTCACATAATCCACTGAGGTTGCATTAAGTGACTCCTTTGTTCTATTCACGCTGCGATCTCTGATGTCCATTTCTTATCCTCAAGCGATCATGTGATAACTGCAGTTACTACATGACATACTTGGATCTGTAAAAACTGTCCCCAACTCTATCACATTATTGGCAGGCTCACACTCCCCCCTCCCCACCTCCACCCAGCCCCAGAACTACCATCTCCATTATTCAAGCATAAGTTATAACAAGCCAGAGGAATGGACTAGATAACCTTGCAGGTTCCTTCTTTCTTTAATGTTGTATGACAGAAAACAATCCATAATTGTAGAAGCATGCAACTTTTGGTGTCTTACAATCCTTATTCAGGTAAAATGTCTATTTGAGTATTCAAAACTGAGTTTTTCAAAGGTCGCCAGGATTTGATTCTTAAGATGGTATTCATATTTTGTAAAAATTGTACAGCATCCATTACAGGATGTATGAACCTAAGATTAAAATAGCTTAAACTGGAATCTGATTTGCTTGCACTGCTGGAATCATTTAATGTAAACATCATAGTGACCCATAATATCCCAAAATGCTGTTTTGAGCATGTTAGTATTCATGTGTGAATTCAGTATTCATGAATACCTCCCCACACCATGTATAGCGGCCTTTAAAAATGGCGTACAAATATCCCAACCTTGTGATGTGGAGGCTGTAAGGTAAAGCACAGGGCTCCCCATTACACAGCCAATATTCATTCACATTAATGCTTTTATGGGTGTAAAACTGCCCTCTTTATCAGAGTGAATGGGACTGTTCATATTAATAGGTCCTCTGTGTGCGTATTAGCTCATACAATAGACTCTGAAAAGGTGTATGTGAGTGAATGTAACCCATATACTACTGAAGTTAGTGGAAACATGCCCAGCATTTATTTCCTAACTCTGGCTATTACTGGTGTCTGCTATTCCATCTACACTGTTCAAATCCCCTTGATTTCAGTGAGATATAAAGGTGAATTGGTTTGCCACCAGTAGATTGCTGCCTGAAACAAAAATGGCTTCCTTGTCCTGCTTTGCACTTCATAGCAGGATATTGGCGGAAGCATTATGTGATCAATGGGATCTGGTGATTGTAGAGGGAATCTGGATAAGGATAGAATGAAATGGATGCTACAAGCTGCACTTTCAGTTAGACACACCTGAAGCACCGGAAACAAATGCTCAAAGCAGACTGGAAGGGCCTTGTCTGAAATGTAGTTGATTGATTCCAGGGAAATAGAGAATTATTGCATGAATGCATGGATACTGACAAGTTCATACCAGGAAATTTTCCTTCAAAGTGCACAATTCAACAATGGAATGTTCTTAATAGGAAAATGATCAAAAGCTGACTTAAGACTGTCAGTTGTTCAGTCAAAGAATACCATCTCTGTTTCATCCTGACCATACACACAAAAAAATCTCGGTTTATCTTTTGCTTTTAGTATAACAAAAACAAAATTCTTTAGAAAAATCAGCATATTATAGACACATATCCAGACATCTTATAATCTTTCTAAAATAAAACAACCCCCTACTGTAGTGTTGACTAAGATTTTTAAGAATTAGCATTTAAAATTTTTAAATCAGCTACTTTAAATACCAACATGTGCTGCACTTCCCCTCACCATCCCAGCTTCCCACGCAAAAGAAAAAAAAATCCAACTTTGCTGTTTTTTATGTTTGTTAAAAACTCCTGGCTGAGATTGTTAAAGTACCACCTCCAATGGAACCGTGTGAACCCCACGGTGCATCTTCGAATGCATTTCATATCCTAGTTGTGTTAAGTACTGCAGCTATGGGGGCTTAGATCTCCAGATCATCAGGTCGAGGTCTGCTGCTGGCTCGACTGCTGGCTCTGCTCGGAGGCCTTTGGTCCACGACTGCAAGAGGCTGTAGCTCATGGCCAGAAGCCACCTTTTTGCTGTTCTCAGGCTCCTCAGCAAAGTCGAAGTTCTGGGCATGTGAGTTGGAGATGGTGCTCCCAGCCTGTCCAATCCTGTTCTGTTCAGCACTGTAATTTGCCCAGTTTTGCTCACTGGCTTGCTTATTGTAGTTACGACAGGAAGAGGAATTGTTCCTGTCTCCAGTTACAAGCTTGTATCCTGGTGGAGACATGGGTGACAGGGGGGCAGTTGGAGAGGAGCAACCATTGAAGTAGGCATACTTGGGAGATCCACATTCCTTGGAGGGACTCAAGCCACTGTTGGGAGAGAAAGGATCACTTTTGGTCTTCATACGATCCTTAATGCTCTTGAAGGTGACATAAAAAATTTCAATGATGTTCAGTGTGAGAGAGACAATAGACACCACCAGCATGAAGATAATGAAGATGGTTTTTTCTGTGGGGCGTGAGAGGAAGCAGTCCACCTTATGTGGGCATGGCACTCGCTCACAAGTGTAAATGGCTTGCAGGGTGAACCCATAGATGTACCACTGGATCAGCACAAAAGCGACCTCAAAGAAAGATTTGAAGATGATGCTGATAACGTAGGTGCGGAGCAGTCCCCCACGCATTTTGACCTTGCCGTGCTCTTCAATCCCGTACTTGAATTTCTTAATTTCTATTTGCTTGAGATGCATCTCTACATTAACACCCTCACTCTGGACAGCCTTGAGCTCTTCTTCTTTTCTGTTTAGCTTCTCTTCTTTCCGCATCACATAGAACACATGTGCCAAATACATGAGGGTTGGCACAGACACAAAAATGAACTGCAGAACCCAAAAGCGGACATGGGAGATAGGAAAGGACTTGTCGTAGCAGACATTTTCACAACCGGGCTGTTGGGTGTTGCATCTGAATGCTGATTGCTCATCTCCCCAGGCAGACTCCACTGCTGTCCCCAGCAGCAAGATTCTGAAAATGAAAAGGACAGACAGCCACACCTTCCCTCCTGCAGTTGAGTAAGCTTGGACTTTGTCAAGGAGCCTTCCCAGAGCACTCCAGTCACCCATCTTCACTGCCTGCTACCTACAAAAGAACAAAGGGGGGGGGGGAGAGAGATGAAGTCTTACCTGTACTATTAGAACATTGTGTCCTTCAAAGGAGATGCATGAATCAGTAGACCTGAAGTATGAATGGCAAAATGTGGGGACCCTCCAGTAGAGGTAATACATGCCTCACTGAAAAACAGAAATATCCTACCATGCTTATAAATAAGATGTCTCTCTTAAGCACTCATAGTTGATCTTGGTATCAGTATGAGGACCATGGACTGTGTTGACTGGAAGTTCACATATGATTAGGATTTCTAATAATTTCATCTCACATAATACATAAAGACCAGAATTGAACCCAAGATCTTCTTCATGCTAAACATCTACTGCTCCATAACTGGAGAATGAGCACTGCAAAACACTTCTGGGCAATGAAGTCTAGTGCAGGTTGAGTCCGCAGTCCTGAGTTGCTGACACAGAGCAGCAAGACAAACACTTTTGTATGTTGGCTGGCCCTGTCCAATTTCAAATGTTAATCACTCTTGGGGACAGGGAGAAACAGGATTGACCTGCACTTGAAATCAGTGGAGTTGTGCTGGCAGAAGGAGGTGGGGTAGTGATTTTGGCAGATTCCTCTTTTCTAGGTCCCTCTTTTCTCCTGCAAGTCTGCTCCAAGGGCTAGGTAACCCTCTGGAATGGTGTGAGAGGTTGCTTTGGGCTCTGCAGAGGCCCAGTAAAAATCATTTCCCCATCACCTTTCAGTGAGAAGCCTGCTGGATCAAGGTTCCTTCCTCAGATCCATCACTAGATGACTGCTATCAGAGCCTTCATTTCCACAAAAAGTAATTAGTGATACTAGATTGGGGTCCCCAATGCACAGCACCATTCTTCAATGCTATTTATTCGCGTGCACAATTTCTATACTGCTCTGCATCCAGAAAAATGTTTTCAGCTAGTGCTGAATAGGCAACAGTTTTGGTGCCTGACTGATGTTGACTGTCAGGAAGTTGTACAGATAGGGAGCCAATACACTGGAGAACCTAATCTGTGGACTCCACACTGACTGCAGGTCCATGTGAAACCACCAAGAATGCCTCCTCTGATGACTTCATGGACCGGTAAGGGTGAAAGAAGGCATGCTCTCAAATTTTATGCATGCAGAGTCAAAAGTTTTCTTTAAGGGCAAACCATGAGTGGAAGCTCCTGCAAGTGGACTGTCATTACTAGAAAGGGCTATTTGTCAAAACTGATGGCTCCAAATGCTTTGGCCTACAAATCCAGCAGAGCAAATGATGGAAGCTGCAGGCCAAAACTTCTGAAGGGCAAGAAATTGTGCACCCAGTGGTGTGGAAGCCTAATAGGCCAGAATGCATGGCAGCTTTTTCAGACTATTAGAAGAGAAATGGAAATTTATGAATTTGGTATTTGAAAAGCTTTCTTTCTTTACATTCTATCTGAAAGAGAACAATTTCTCTCTCAAGAAACAACTTCTTAATTTCATTAACTAGCTTGCTGATGATTTTAAAATATGCCATTAACAGACTTCCTTTCAGGTCCAATGGATTTCTTTCAAGTATAATGTTATTTCAGATTAAAAGTATGATTGGAAACAAAAGAAGTGTTATTCTTGGGAAGTAGTAGATAATTTGTTTTTAATTACACCCTTCTGCAGTCCATTAATATGAGAAGATATACACAGGATTTTATCCATTTAATTCCATGTCAGCAATATTTCTTTTTGATTTACCACCCATTTTTAAATTTGTTTCAGCAAGTAAAATAATTTCATTATTTTCTTTGGCTATATTTACTTCAGGGGGAAATATTCATTGCATAAATTACTCAGACAATTCTCAGAAGCAAACATTTCCCAACAAAATCATTCACTTCATGGCTAGCCAGAGGCTCTTAATGAGCTGCAGAGGTACTGTTCCTTTTCTTAGGCAATATGTGTATGGAGTGATGACATTTTGATTTATTTATGATCAACCAATAAACAAGGACTTCAGTGCTAAAACTACTTTTAGAAAGTGACATAGTCTGAACATGGCAGAAGAGCAGTTACAGGACATTCCTCTGTTTAAATGCATGCCCTGTTGAGCAGGGTCTGTTTGCAGCTCTGCCTGGTCCATAAAAAGGGAGACTGCATGCCCTGAAGTTGCCCATAGGAAGACAGACTGGACAGCGTACAGGCCACCTGTAAACAGCCTTCTTCAAATGGTGAGATGTATTCCTATTGAAATTCTAGTCATGATTGCTAAATTTGCATCTGTAAATATATATTATATGTATACTTTATGCAAGTGCATGCCTTCTTTGGCCCTCTTTTGATGTTGTAAAAAATCTGCAATCTGAAGCATGGGTAGTAAGCAAGGGTACGCAACTTGGAGCCCTTCAGATATTTCAGACAATTTTCATAAGGTCCAGTTGAAGTGGCCAATGTTTAGGGGTTATGGTCCTTGCCAACCCCATATTAAGGAACATGCCCAAATGAACTCTGTGGGCCTTCCTTCCTTCCAAGTAATCATACATAGGTTTAGGCTGCAATCTTGCATGCACTAAGAAAGCATTTGGATAACTTATCATAGTTCATTATTCCTAGACATTCCTAGACATGTTTTTGGCTTTCCAAACCCCCCGCCCCCCAATAAAACCCAATCATGCTTAATTTAGGAGGCTAAACAAAGACACTGTGCTGTTTATTATTAATTCAAATGTGATGAAAATGTTTAACCATCAAATGCAATAAACACCCTAATTTTACCAGATCATCAGCAGGTGAGATGCCCTCCTTAGATACATAAGTATAAAGAACATTAGCTTCACTCTGATGATTCAGACCCAAACATACTCACCTAGAAGTAAGATCTTTTTTAATTTTGGGGAACATCTCAATGAATCAGAGGTAGGCAATCTTTTTCAGCCCTGGACAATTTGGCAATTTTAGAAACTTTCCTGGGCACCACCACAAAATGGCCACCATCGAAAGCATGGCAAAGTACAAGTAACCTGCTCAAAGGACTGAGTGGGGTCTGAGCTCCAACACACTAAATATCTCTTTTGAACTCATGGTTTCCAGCATCAACAAAAACCTATTTCACAACAGTCCCAGCTTCCAATAAAAACTGGTTTTCCTTTAAAGTGGGAAGGGTAGGGCACTTTGGCTGGTGCCTGGAAAGGTGTCCTTGGTGTCTCAGTGCCCATGGGAACCACGCTGCCTATGCCTGCCTTAAATTATGGATGTGCAAGGCTGTGATTCTTAGTGTACTTGTTTGAGCATGCATGCTGCAGAAATCCCTGTAATTTAGACATGATTAACCAATGCACCTGAGTGTTGCTGCCTGGCACTCCATGACTTGCTGCTGAATGTGTAAAGTGTCCCCAGTGAAAGTATTGTGCTGGAGAGCACAACTGAAATGATTTGTAAGATCCCCTTGTGGCATTTAACAGTGACTTATGTTTCAGACATACAACTTATATCCTGATGCAATTGATAAATGAAGAAAAGACATATGTGAAATCTATGTAAAGGGTAAATGAAGTCAAAGGATGTCTGGATGAAGATTTGCCCTAAAATGACAGTCTGATTCTCCTACTTTTGTAACTGAGATTTCTTTTGACCCTTGAGACATTTCTACCAGAGAACTATTAAAGGTACAGATCTTACAGTCAGATATTAGAGCAAGAGAGAAAAAGTGGTTCAGAATACTGTTGAACTTCATTGTTATTAAAGATGCCAATGGCAGTGGAGACAACTGATTTTAGAAGAGCTACACATGATGTGTAGTTTGTATAGTTAAAAGCTTTCTTTTTAAGATTACAGGCCTTGACGTTGATGACATTGTTTTGTATTCAGTAGCACATTAGAAAGATAAAAATGGTTGGGATTAGTTTTGTTCATGTTCTATGAACAAATATGAGAACCCTTGAAATAATAGGAATCCTAACTCTCATATTTCTCATCTCTATACAGGATTGGATACGAACCTTGATCCTAAACATAGTCATCCTATGATGTTATCTATAACATTATCTTGGGCTATTGGGAGTTTAAAAATGTAATAGTAAATAAACGTTGGGATCCTGTTGCTCTGCTGATTGCAGAAAGTCATGTTCTGTAACTCTGCACTGACTTAAGCTTTAAAATGATTTGATATAGACAATCAAAAACACTTTATCTTCTTGTGTGTATGTGCCAATTGCACCATGGGTGAACATGCATAATGCAAGAAGCCAATACTCTAATGAATGTAGATGGGGACTTTTATTTTCACAGAGAAAATATGGGGATGGGTGCAAGTCCCCTGGACTGCAAGGCGATCAAACCGGTCAGTCCTAGAGATCAACCCTGACTGCTTTTTAGAAGGTCAGATCCTGGAGACTCAAATACTTTGGCCACCTAATGAGAAGGAAGGACTCCCTGGAGAAGAGCCTAATGCTGGGAATAATTGAAGGCAAAAGAAGAAGGGGACGGCAGAAGATGAGGTGGCTAGATGGAGTCACTGAAGCAGTCGGCGTGAGCTTAGGTGGACTCCGAGGGATGGTGGAGGACAGGAAGGCCTGGAGGAATGTTGTCCAGGGGGTTGAGATGGATCAGACCCAACTTTGTGACTAACAACAACAAAAGAGACAGAAAGTAAAGCCTTATTAGGCACAATGCTATGGAGGAAGACTGCAGTGCTAGGGAGGAAGGCTCTCCAAGTGGGACTTCCCTCTGGGTAATCATGAATGGGCCTGGCTCTTGTATCCTTGGGAAGTGACATCCACCACAACAACCCATTTCTAAGTAGTGGCACAATCCTTTGCATACTAGGCAAAAAAATTCCAGTGGGTAACATTTCTCAGCTTGCCATGCTGAGATTTGGAGGACTTTTCTCTGTCTAAACCAATACACGACTGTACTTCCCATCTATTTACACTTTGGTGCTAATCACTCCAAGCCAGTTAAGAATTTGATCCAATCTCATGGTTAATCAACAGCATGGGAAAATGAAAAACTATTTTGCCTGTAGTGATATACAATACTGTGGTACATACTGATTTGTGGTGTCCAGCAGAGAAAGGATGTCACATGAATTTATATGACATTCAACTTCAGCAAGCCAGGAGCACAGAAAGCTTTGGTTCATATCCAAGAGTAAGGCAAATATCAGTGGAAAGCATTAAGGTGCCTTTAGTTACGTTGCAATTCTGCTCTCACTTTGCCAGGTCAGATGCAGGACCACATCACAAGCAGTGCTAGCTCTGTGCAGTTCTCTGTGAGCCATACAGAGACTCTCCAAAGCCCGGCTCAAACAGATTTGGATGCAATGATCCCAAGGAGGGACAGGATTAATGCATCCATTGGGCAACGCGAGAAAGAAAATTCTGTAGGCAATAGTTGTGTATACAATCTGTGCAACACTCCTGCATATCCTCCTGCTTCAGAGGTATTGGGGTACCATAAGCTCATTAGGGAAAAGACTGTATATTCAGCTGGTTGTGTGGGACTGTCAAGTCAGAACTGTCCTGATACATTCTGTATAAATAACACATAGAGACCAGATATGCAAAAGGCATAGATCTGATCAAGGACCTGTTTGAAATGTAGCTTCAGAAACAGAAGAATAAAATGACAGCATTCCTTGGTTAGCACTCTAAATGACCATACGGAGGAAAAATTTGATCGACAAGCCACAATTGGGAAAGTGAAGCAGCTTCAAGTCATTGGGACCATGTGTCATGCCATATGGCTCAAGTTTTCCAGGATGTCTAATACAGCTTTGTTGTCTTTACTACTATGATGATAACTGAGCGTGAAGTCAGAAGGTCAGAAGGAAATGTTTGCCGCAGTCCTTTGGGACTTTGTGTGGAGTGTGTGCACGTATTGAATAGTGGTGCTTAACTGGAAACCGCCTGTGAAGCTAGACTCTCAAGAGGCTTTCTGTTGCGAGAGTAACAAATCTGCAGTAAATAAGAGAAACTTTCCCCAAGCTGGCAGGCTGCATATCTATTGGATGATAACTCCTATCATCCCCAGCCAGCCTGGTCCATGGCCATTCTGGCTGGTGAATGATGGGAGTTGCCATCCAATACATCTGGGGCACGCTGAAGGCTGAAATGGAAAGCCAGAAGTGCCATGAGAAACAGTTCTTCAAGACTAAGAACAAAGTTGGGAATGAAAATCTAATGAATGGAAAAAAATAGCAAAGAACGTCACGTCTGACCCAGAAAAGGCACCTGAGCTCTTTTGGTTACTTGGCTTCCTTAAAAAAATAAAGAAAAACCTCCAAATACTGTTGGTGTAGTACTTCTAGAAGAATTCCTGCTGCCTGGTAGGGTTATGAACCCAGCTTCAGTTAAGAGACACATATTTTAAAGTCCCAAATGTGTGGGACTGCTGCAGAGCCATCTGCTGTCATTCTCAGAACAACTGACTTGGGCTGAGGAGACCCAGGTTCTAATCCAGCTTCAGCAATGGAGCTCAGTTGGGTAACCCTGATCCAGTCACTATGTCTTCCCTACCTCAGGGCTGTCACAAGAATAAAATAAGAGGCACAGACCTGAGCTTCTTGGAAGACAGGTGGGGTTAAAATGTAACAAACAAACAAGTGCAGTTGTTTTCCTAGCAGGCTTCTTCAACAACTGTCTGTTGGATTGAACATTAAGTTTATCTTGCTGACTTAGCGTTTGGTCCTATGCATATGTGTTTAGAACTAGTTCTGAGCAAACCACCCACTGGGACTTGCTTCAGAGGAGATATTTGTGCAATATTGGTGGAGCGGGCTTGGCTGCAATTCTTCTGAGTTCATTTATGGCAATGTTAAATCTCACTGAACACAAAGAGAACTACTTCTGAGGTAAGGATTGGGATGTTCAGCTGCAGATCTGAGCATATTTGTGGAGAAGTTAGGGCTACAATCCTAAAACTCTTACTAAGAAGGAATGAGCTCCACAGTGGACTTACTTTTGCCTAAAGCATGCAAAGGATTACAGTGGCTACAGCAATAATGATTCCTGTGCATTTATGCCCGGGAGTTGGTTGTTTATGCTCTAATCCTTGAATTCTCTGCTTATCCTGGCTCTGAACACTTCCCCATCTATAAAATACTTCATAGAGCTTTTCTGAAAGAATGAATGAGATACAAATTGTAAAGTTCTTTGCACACTAGAAATGCTACACCGTTTATCATGAATCATGGCAGTTGATGTTTTATCTTGGTTGGTACAGACTGCATTTTTAAGAAATGCATCTCAAACCCATTGTATCCTTTTTGTTAAAACTCAATTTGCTCACTCACCCCCCCCCCATTTATATTCTAGTTAGGCATCCTTGCTCAGCACTAGTGCTGAGCTTCAAAGCGCCCCCACCCCCCATGTATCCTCTCCCTGGCACACACTGCAGTAAACAGCCCCAAAGTCTGCAGACTTCAGAAATCCAGATGTGAATATGGCTGAACAGAAGTTCAGGACAAGTAAGCCTTTTCTCCCTGCTTCCCCCTACTTTTCCAGACAACACAAGCAGATTCCTGAAATCAGAGAAATGTGTCCTTGCATTTGTTGACCTTGCTGGTTTTAACAAAACTCTCAATGAATGTTCTTTTCTTTCTAAAACACAACACAGCAGGACTAGCCAAAGACACTGAGCACAACCGGAGTGAGAGATGTAACTGTACAGAAAATATTCAGCCACTCCTCCCAAAATGGATTTTTAGAAATCTACCAAAGTCCTCTTTGGGTGCTTCTGCTGTGCAATTGTCCTAAATTGTACATGTTATCCAGGTGCTATTATCATTGGCTACCTTTAAGTCCTCTTTCGCTACCACTCCCTCCATTTTTTTTTCTTGTCGCAGAATATCCATCAAGGATAAAAAGATGGAACTGACACAGAACGCCTGCCGATTGTTAGCATTAGCACTTGCAAGCCTTGGAAGCACCTGGTGGCTTCCATTTGAAGCTCTCCCATGTTCTTCCACTGTGTCTTCCATTCTTTTCCATACCACAGAAGAGGGAGGGTGCTTCCAGGTAGAGGGATTCTAGATCCAGCAAGCAAAAGGCACTGTGTCCATTCCTTCTCAATAGGGCTTTTTTTTGGGGGGGGGGAGTAGAAAATAAAAGGTGAAAGCTGGTCTGGGGAAAAAATGGGTGGATTACAAATGGAAAACAAAGTCATCCGGACAGCTTCTCCTTAAAATACTGCAGTTGAGACACCGCAATTGGATATAAGTGCGTCCTCGAAGCACCTGGAATAGTTGCATAATGTCTTTGATAGGTTTCACTAGGCACCTTCAGTGTGGAAGCAGCCTTCATTGTCTTAACTTTGTGCTTTCCTTTCTGAGAAGAACTTTAGCCAGTGCTATTGGTGAAGAATTAAAAAGGGACTTTGGCAGAATCTAGCATTCCTTCAGAAGGAAAAGCACCTTCAATGAAGATAATGACTCTTTCCTTTCCAATCTTAAATGATGGTCTCAGATTCATTTGTTGGAATATAGTCCAATGCAGACAGACCTTCTTCTCAGAAAGTGTTGCAAACTTTCAGCAACCAAGAGTCTTCTTGCTCCACTTGCGCCACATCTGTGTTCTAACTTGCTTAAAATCCTTAACAAAAGCCTGGATATATTATCCAAAGAAGATGAGAAAAGGGTGGGGAGGTGAAAAATCACGTGAAAGTCATCCGATTTGGCGTTAAGAGCAGCAAAGCAGAAACTGAACAAAGCACCCAATTAAGGACCTTGCTTTGTATGAACTAATAAACAGCAGTCGTGATTTCCATATGAAAGTAAAACGTGTTTGCGTGTTTTCATGTTTGAGGGGCTGCTATATGTGAAAGGGCTTGTAAGTTTTGTCTTTTAACTTTTGCAACCCTTTTCATAGTAACATCATGCCACATGTTGCAATGTGCCTTGGTTAGATTTCCGTAAAGTTGGCCATCCGTTCCCTGACGAGAAATGGTTTTATTGTGTTATATATGAAACATTCTCCTGAGATGGAAACTTAACCAATGAAGTCTGAAACCAAGTGTGGAAATTAAACCTGTAAAACAGTAAAAAAATGGCATCTCCTAACGAACTTTTTAACTATCTGTAAAGCTCAAGTATGCTGAAAATCTCCATAGTAGTAATTGGTTAAAAACAGACAGCTTCTTGTTAAGTTAAACTAAATTAATAGTTTTAGTGTTCAGAGCAGAACTAACCACAATCTTCTGAGAAGATTTGTTTGGAATAAGCTTGAAGCAAAAAATCCCAAAAAACAAAAAACTTCCCCATCCTTACCTTACTAGTCAGCAGTGAAGAAGGTAAATCAGATGCTGCAGTTCCTCAGAGGGTTAAAACTCAAATGCAACAACTGGTTCAGGCACCGAAGGCTGCCTATTTAAACTTTAAAAGTCTCCTGCTCTTTTGTCCCGCAGTGTCCTTCCTCTCCCCTTTCCTGAAAGGAAAACGTTGAGACCTTGTTAAAGGGGAGGGGGGAGACGGACACACACAACCCCTTTTTTTCCACCCTAACTTGATGCACAGGGCTTTTAAAAAGTTTTCAAGCCACTAACTGTGAGGGAGGAGAGAAAAAGGAGGGCTGAGAGCAGAAGAGGTGGGACTGCCAAGGAATCGGGAGGAGAAAAGTCGGAGAAGACACAGAAGCGGTAGAAGCATTAAAAGTGTTGGGGGGGAGGAGGCAGCGAGAGGCTGAACTGAGCGCGGAAGTGGCTGAGTAAGCACATACTTAAAAGAATGGGGGAGACATGAAAGAGACCAGAATGGGACCATGTCCAGGACTCTCTTGCCGTGGGGAAGTGACACAGCTTAATTTGCTGTATGAAGCACAGCTCTGAAGGTGAGAGGCTTGCCTGCATCGGGGGTTCACTGTGCGCCAGTGATGAGGCGAAGTTGATTTCATCAGCAGCTGGCCTACAGCAACTCTGCCCAAAGGCAACCAGCTGGAAGCTGGCATCAGAAGCGCCTGCCACCAGAAGCGGCGCTGGCACCCCCGAACTGAATGCTCCCTGCAAAACTTTGCAAGCTACAGTAACGCGTCGAGACAGAGGTCTTATTTCCCCCTGCCGGCTGCAGGACGTAGGCAGAGCTAATTATTATCGCGCCTTCCCTCTTTTGTGCAAGCGTGCATTTCTGCTGGGGTTTTTTGCAAAATTTACTCAATTGCACGATTCTTCAGCAATTTAAACAATTAAATAAATCTGCGAGGATGGCTGCTGACACAGAGAGGGGGAAAAAACCACCATAATCTTGTAGCACAGGCAGCAAGCGGCCAGGCAAATAAGACGAAGGTTGCAGATAGAATTCTGTGGCAGGGCTGAAGCCGTGTGAGCTAATATCAGGCAAGGTTCCATGTTGAAATGATGAGAAAAGGCAGACAAGTTCAAAGAATAAATTCACCAGTGCAGAAATGCAGCCTGCTTGTCCGGCTTTGGCTTCAGTATAGTCAACTGTCCTATTTTAATTTTGACTTGCTTCAGACATAATGCTAACCCATTTTTTTTAACACATGGATTATTGAATTCTGGGTTACCATGATGTGTGAACCCAGCCAGGCTAAGAAGGCATGGCGCACTCACCACAAGCACCGCATAAAGAGAATCTGTGGTTTGTTCTTGGGTTGTGAGCTCTATATCGTATGCGCTGTCATTAGATTGGAGACCAGAACCATAGTTCATAAGTTATTTTGCCTGTCTTCAGAGGTGGTTTAGAAAAAGTGGAAACCAGCCATTGTACATGCTAGTACTGCAGCAAAGCTTCCATGCAGGCATTTGGAACACAGGGAGGGAGCAAGAGAAGAAGGATGCAAAACAAACCACAGATACTTCAGTCGCTTGCCGAATATATCCTGGGTGGGCCGGCAACCATGGATTAATCATTTAAACCATGGGATAGAATGATGTTTTAACCCCATCACCGCCTCTAGAAGACCTTATCTACTCTCAAATTGCTAAGAAAACCAATTAAGCAAAACAAAACACTTAAAAACATAGAAGACTCAGGCAGGATTAAAGCGAAGGTCTATCAAATTGAGCTTCCTGTCTTCCATAATGGCTTACCAGATGTTCGCAGACAGGGCTTGGGTTCATGGTCATGCTTCCCAACAACTAGTCCAGTGACATACTGGCTGAGCATGGCAATTCCATTTAATCATCAAGACTAAAAGCCATTGATGAATCTCTCTTCCATACGTTGTCTAATCCTCTTTTAAAGCCGCCTGAGTTGCTGGCCATCACAGCAGCTTGTGACAGAAAATTTTGCATGTCAGTTATACCTTGTGTGAAGGAGTATTTGCTTTTATCTGCGCCAAGTATCATATATTGCTAATTAATTCCATTGGATGATCCTCCCCTCACAACTTCCAGTATTATGAAAGAGAGAGAACTATCTATTTTTCCCACATATTCTTTCTGAGATAAACTGTACACGGTATTCCAAATGTGGCCTCACTATAGATTTCTGTAAGGGTATGATGATATTGACACTTTTTTCACTCTCTACATTTTTCACCTTGACTGGCTGCAGTAGAAAGCAAAAATAAAACTAATTTTGAAAGGGTAAAAGCAATGGTTCTAAACTGAGAAGTGAAGGTTTAGCCAGTGGGAATTTAGTTTAAAAACTAAGTGTAGGGTTAGCTCTTGGTCCAAGTTCATACAGCTTCTTGGGAGTAAGTCCCAGTCATCTTTCCTTTGAGTAGTTATACATATGACTGCAGTGAATGAAGGTAATACATTATAGCAGGGATCTACAAAGTGGTGTCTGTGGGAAATAATTTTAAAAATTAAAAATAAGGAATTCATATATGCATTTTCATGAGGTGCATACAGCTTTGTGCACCACAGTTGTGTGCGTAGCAAAGGTCTGATGGTAGGAAGTCCCTAGCAATAGCCCTAAGCTCATTCTTTGCTTCTCTATGGGAAGATACCCCTCCTGCAAGGACTGCTTTGTAATGCAGAAAGGGCCATCAGGCTAATGTTGTACTCAGCTGAATATGTAATATGAAGTGTAATATGTAGTTTGGCCCTAAGCACAACCCCTGCCATGCCTAGACTGGACTAGTTATGATGTTAAGATCAAAGTAAATTATGTGAATTAATTGGATCTTCTGTCATGGTTAATTTTACTCAAAAGCAGCTATGGAATGTTCCTCATTGGAGCTTAACGGTAACATTGAGGTAGGATGTGTTCTACCACACTCTCCAAAATAGCTCCCCCAAAGCATTATTTTTACATTAACTGCCATTTTTCTAATTGTCACGTTGGAACATAGTGGAAGGGAAATGAGTTAAATACCTTTTCAGCATTGCCTGCCTCCAGTTTCTGTTAAGGCAAATATCAAACACTGGAAGATCCATGATCATTGTGTATGGTTTGGCCCTTAGAAATGGTACTTATTTCTACCTTGTTGAGCTGCTTCATATCCTTGAGTACTAGACAACTCCTTGAAAGGCATAACAGATATTCCAGCAGCTCATTGTGTTTGGATAGCTCACCAAGTCTATTGTTATATGAAATGTTCATATTTTGACAGCTGAACATTCTTGCTCCACTGCAGGGTTTCAGAAAGTTCATCAAAGGCCACTAGTCTCAATTGTGCATATTCTGGAATAACAACCTTTTGAAATTAGAGCACAGCTTTTATTACAGACCAGTGTTCATGTACAATGAAGTTAGGTGTGTTTCTACATCTTTTCAGCTTTTTTCCATTCAGTGTAATTCATCCCTATAATATTACTTAAATTCATATCCCATATGATTAAAAATCTTGGTAATAAATAAAACAAAATGATTGATATCCTAGGAATTTTGTTTTTGTTTTCAAACTCTCAAATTATATTAAAACTTGAAGTCTAGTACCATTAAATACATGAGCAAACTAAGATGAATACCCATGGAGGCAGGAACAACTAAGATTCTTCTGCTTCTAAACTCATTGCCCTGGAAATGACAAGATACAGTTGCATTACTATCCCTTTGACCAGCCTCCCTCAATGTGATGCCCTCCAGAGGTTTCATCATACCTGGCTAGCATGGCCAGTGATAAATGATTAGGAACTGTAGTCCATTAAAAACAAACTCTAGCCTAAACTGGATCATTCAGTTTAATGTTCAATAATGCTTGAAAACCAATTATGGTAGCAATGAAATAGAAAATTAACAACAGGACTACAATCCAAGAGGATCGCCACTTTTTAGACGGAGCACTCTGATCTCCTATCTAAAGCCTCTGGGCAGGGTGGAAGGAATAACAGAGATGAACATGTTTGCTATTCCACTTGCTGCTAGATGAACCCCTTGGATCATCTAGCTGATGTGGAATTGCTGGATGATAAGCACACGTGTAGATCTGGTTGATCTATCCACTTCCTATCTAACCCTATCATCTATCCACTTCCTATCTAACCCACTATCCAATCCCTTTTCTTCTTCCCAAACCCACTGCTGAGATTGCCACAACCACCCTGGTATATGAGCTGCTTCTGGGCTTTCCGTGAGTGCAGTGTGAGTGTGTAGTGGTGAGGAATCCTGCTCAGATTCTTCTCTCCTGGTCATATGGCTACAACCTCATGGCAGATTTGGATCGTCCTGTGATTTTTGGGGCACTTTCTCAATGACCATACGATAGTTCTGTAAAATAAATAAATGTGATTGAATCTAGGGATTAATTATACTCAACAACCAGAAATCTGAAAGTTCTTTTATGTTCCACTGACAGAAACCTTTGAGTCAATAAGCACCATGGACATCTTTCTTCATTGCAGTAGAGAACATTAATGTATAATTGATGTATTCAAATTTAATATCTGTATTAATGGATTCATATATAATGCATGCATTCATATATAATTAAGAATTACATATACATCTGCTTTGGTAGTATAGACATTCTGAAATAATTTGAATGGCTGAGGGGTAAACCATACTTACATTATAACAACTTTCCAGTTTTCTGAGCCATGGATATCAGTCTTCTCAAGAATTTTTCATGCAAATGTGTTCACATATGTCATGGTTTCTGTCTTGTTTTTCACTAACATAAGATTTTGCACCAAAATTTTATGGATCTTTTATTTTGCCTTCTATTTTTAAAAAAAACCCAACAGTTGGCATTTTCCGTGCTTCATTACAAAAAGCCACTTTATTTCCAAATTCAGCAACAGTAACAATATTAATTTTAAAAATTGATCAATCAATCAATCCGCTTAGCCTTTTATCTGGCTTGATTGATGGGCATTGCTGTTTATGAATGATGGCTTTACAATTGGTCTGAGCTCCTGAAACTTGATATTTTATTTCCAGGTAATGGTCAGATTTACAATTTCAATATTCCATACAAAGTTAGTTTTCCATAACAAAGAAAACATCACATTGATGCTTAGGATAAAGCAATCCTTTCTGCTTTTTCTTTGTCTCTGTTAATCAGGCAAGCATACAAATGTCCAAATGAAATACAAGAACTAGATGGAACATTTAGGTCTGGCCTCTAAGATAGGAATTCATTTTTTTTAATCTAAGCACAAATCCTCTCCTTTCAGTGTTTCAGTATTGATGGTCCTTGCACTGTGAAACAGCAGCCTTGAAATAATGACACCC